TATATATATATATATATAATGTATGTTAATATGTAGCATTTAAGTTTTTGCATCTCTTTATTCAGATTCTTACAAATCTTTGAATTTCACAGATGTGTGGTTGTGGTCTCTTGAGAATTGTGGAGGGGTTTGACATTCTTTGCAATTCATTCATGAAAGTTTGAGGGCTTGGTCTCAACCTTAAGAAGACATAGCAGAGAACCAAGCTGGGAGGTGGGACAAGAACTAATAGTAATGGTATCTCTCAGATACTTTCAATAAATTCCAAAAAAAATTGGGGTCTATTATATAATAGAATCCTAAAACAGTCAGTGAGTGGAATTATCTGCAGATAGAGATTATTAAAGAAATTGTAGCAAATTCTTTCAGGGAATCTATGATAACAGCTGTTACTGATTTAGTAATTTTCTTTATACATTACCCTTTCTACCAAGCACTTTTATTTTGAAAGGAAATGTGCTTGTTTAATGCTTTGTGCGGTTTGGCCGACACCAAAGGGTTAAGTAATTGAAGTATTTGAGTACCTCCCACTGTGCACAGCTTGCAGCAGGAGCCACACCCCCAACAGTGGAGTTTCTTGATTTTCCAGGAAATGGATAGTTTCTATTATTACTCCTGGGAGTAGTCTTTAAATTTTAGTCTGAAAGTTTTTCATTTGAATTAGTAATTCCTTTGTCCGGTCTTTCCTCTGAGAGCTGCTTAAGCAAGTATTTCATTACTAAAAAATCCTAACCTGGATATGGTCAGGTCATGATTAGAAGAGTGTGTGATTTTCAATTTTATTGGAGATGACCCTTGGTCACTAGCTTTGAGTGAATTGAAAGCACGAATTAAAGGACTTTGATATTTAGATGCTAAAGGAAAACTAAGTATACTTTAGATATTTGTTACATTTATATGATTAAAACTTGAAATGCAGTAATTTTAAAGCTGCATTTTGTGAATCTAATTTATTCTGTTTTATTAGGTCCTGGATGTTCAATTCCTGTACCAGCTAACCAGTCATTTTGGACTCGAGAGGAATATTCTAACCTAAAGCTCCCCAGAGCCTCTCACAAAGCTGTGGTCAATGGAAATATAATGTGGGTTGTTGGAGGATATATGTTCAACCACTCAGATTACAACATGGTTCTAGCGTAAGTTGTTTTAAACATTTTTGCAAGAAGCTGACTAGTTTTCCATTTCAAAAATTTATAAAGTAGAGATAAAAAGAAAAGAAATCATCAGTAATTCCATCACCCAGGAAATCACTGTTAATATTTTGGTAGTGGTGTTCCAGAATTTGTTTGACATATCCTTAGTTTTTGAAGGTGGGAGGCACAAAGAATGTGTTTTTATCATAAGTAGTAATTCATCTTTTCTAGATACCATCTCTCATATTTTGTTTTAGGTACACATGGGGGGGGGCTCTACAAAAATTGGGGGTTATTTTACCTCTTAATTAGCTTATCTGTAGGTCACATGGTTTGCATTTATAGTTTTCTAGAGGAAATTATGCTATTGTCTAATACTTGACCCAGTGTTCAAGGTCTCCTGCTGGTCCCATGCTGTTCATCTTGAAAGAATATATATTATCACAGTGGAGTTAGGAAGTTAGTTATGAAGATTGACTTTGGGGAGAAATTTATGAACATGTACTCATGCTGATTTTATGCCCTGGAGAGTTTTTCTAGGCATTTTTTATTAATGAAGATTGTCAAAAACCAGCATCTGTTCTTTAAGGGATTCTGGAACTATGGCAGCAGTGGCATAGTTTCTGAATCCCCCAAGTAGTCATTAAAGCACACATGCAACTAGGATAGCAAAATGGAAAAAAAAAACAACAACAACACCTGAGTAACAAAACAAAGCTTGGTCAGAAGTTATCTACACAGATGGGTGGGGCTAACCCATTGACAGCTCCAGAACCTGTGTGGTATTGCCATCTGTGTAGGAATAAGCAAAGGGGAGCAAGGGACTGACTGACAGGCTCCAGTATACCTAGAAGAAGCTGCTTTGAGAACAGCAGCTGGAGCTGGAAAGATTTGCATATTCTAGTACTGGGTAAGCACAAGGGATCTATAGTAGGATCTGAAGGGGCTAGAACAGTTTGTGCGTTATTAGCTCTCTAAATGAACTAGGCAGATTTTCTTTGCAGGAGAAAGTTCCACACTGAGGAGAAACCACTGGGAATAGAATTTAAATTGAACAAGACAGTAACAATAGAAAAAAAGGAAAAGGGTGTCCAGATAACAGTCAGGGAGGGGAACAGAGCCAGGATAGTTCAACAAGTAAGCTGCCATGTGTTTGAACACACACTGTTAGCAACAGAAGAGTGAGCTGGAGAGCTGAGAAATTAGGAAGTCAATCCTAACCCAGGCCCCTCCTGTACAAGTTTGGGAAAAAACTAGTTTTGCTTAAAATTGAGCAACAGAAAAAAAACGTATGAAGTTATTAATGACCTAGAAAAATAAAAGTTAAAGTAACATAGAATAAAGAGACCAAGGAGTAAGATAACCCCCCCTTTGTACGTGAAAGCGTACTAGAAAAATATACTCTCCAAACTGATGAAAATGGTAAGTTAGAATTCCCAGACAAGCTAAAATGCAGGAAGACAATGATGTGAGATATAAAAGAACAGTAGAATCAGAAGTAGAAAAATCCAGAAATGAGTTGATAGAAGTTAGGAAAGAATTTTAAAGTATCTCAGAATTAAAGACGAGCCTAGGAGGAACACAGTAAGTAAGCACAATAGAAACTCCTTTAGTAATAGAATATGAAAAAGGAAATTATTAAAAATCACAAAGGAATGAAGGTAAGTACAGTTAAAAACCCTGGACATTATATATAAAACAAACATGAGAAAACTGTGAAAAGGAGGGAGAAGGCAGTCTGGCTAGGGACCTCGGGACCCAAGGAATGATGTAACAGTAGATTCCATGGGTTTTCTTTTTGTCTCATATATCCCAGATTTGATGTTGGAAAAAGCAGCTATCTGAAAATGCCAATAGACACAAGCCGAAAAAGCCTCAAGAAAAAGCCTACCTATTCTCTCTAGCCTAACGACTAGGAAAAGGGCAGCTTAGCAAGACAGCAAGACAGAAAACTGTAAGACACAAATAACCACTCTGCTGCAGTCAAACACCACAGAAAGAACTGTGGCCCCACCCTCATCCCTGTCAGCAAAGTCTGAGTGTAGAGTCTAGATTTCTGTTCCTGCCAGGGTGTGGTGAGGTGCTGCAACCCTCCACCCCCACCCCACTGCCAGTATTAGAGAAGGCCTAGTGAGGAGCTGGGCCTTTCTTCTCTTCCAGCCAAGAATGAGGCCTCCCTCACCCGTGTGATGTCAGTGGAGACCGCGTGGGGAGCCTGGCAGTAATGAGTTGGCCTTCCCTCTTCCCCACTCGGGTGACAGGAGGCCTGCTATAACAGTAGATTTAAATAAGATCCGGAGGCTCATGTCATGACACCCAAAATGTTCAAATTCAATCAAAAATCATTTCTCATGCAAAGAGCCAGGAAAATCTCAACTCAAATGAAAAAAAAGCAATTGAGTTGCTGACAGCAGGATGACATAGATAATAGAATTATCTGACAGGATTTTAAAGCAGCCATTATAAAAATGCTTCAGTGTACAATTATAGACATACTTGAAACAAATGAATAATAGGGTCTCACCAAAGAAATCGAAGATATAAGGAAGAATAAGATGGAAATTTTAGAACTGAAAAATACAGTAACCAAAACAAAAATCTCAGCGGACAGTATCAACAGCAGAATGGAGAGGACAGAGGAAAGAGTCCGTGAATCTGAAGGTAGAACAACAGAAGTCCCTCAATCTCATCCAGAGAGAAAATAGAGTATTTTAAAAATGAGCAGAGCCTCAGAGACCTGGGGACTATAACAATAAATCTTAGCATTTCTGTCACCAGGGAGTCCTAGAAGGAGAAGAGCAAGAGAGAATGTCTGAAAAAGTATTTGAAGAAACTATGGCCGATAGTTGCCTAAATTTGGCAGAAGACATGCATGTACATGCAAGAAGTTGGGCGAACTCCAGCAATCCTGGACTCCCACAGGGGTTCACAGTCCATTGATTTTGCCCCAGTCTTTCTCATTCTCCCGCTCAGGCATCATATTTCTCTTCATTTTTCAAATCTCTACCACATTGTCTCCTGTTTTCATTCTCAGCCAATTACCTTGCTTCCTGTTTCTGTTTTGAAAGGTAAACGTTATCCGAAGAGAACTTCCACAAACTCCCACCGCCACATGTAGCCATTACCCACATCTGTGCTCATTTATTCTGTCCTCTGTTTCTGTACATCAGCACTGCCCAGTGGGTCACTGTCATGTCACTAGCCATTTGTGGTTATTGAGCGCTTGAAATGTGACTAATGTGACCAAGGAGTTGAATTTTAAATATTCAGTTCTGAGTCCTCATCTTACTTGGTCTTTCACCAACATTTGATAAAACTAGTCCATCCCTCCTCTTGTAAACCTTTTCTTCCCTTGGCTTCCAGGGCTCCACAATCTCCTGATATTTGTTCCCACTACTTATTCCTTTGCAGCCTCTTTAGCCGGTTCTTCTTCAGCGGACTGACTTCTGAATGATGCTGTGTCCCAGGGCTCAGCTCTTGGCCCTCTTCCATGAGAGTATATATTCACTCTCCTGGTGATCTCATCTAATATCTTGGCCTTTATGTTGGTGACCCCCAATTTTATGTCTGCATCCTAGCCTTTTCGTCTGAACCCGTATCTCCACCTCTTTATTTGACATCTCAATCTTTTGGCTATCTCAGAGGCATCTTAAACTGTATGTGTCCAAAACTGATCTTTCCTCCTGGCCAGCTCTTGCCCCAGATGACCCTATCTCAGTTAATGACCACTTCATACTTCTATTTGCTTAACCCCTAAATTTTGGAAGCCTTCCTTGACTTCTTGTTTTTTCACATCCCATGTCAGTATGTATATTAGTTATCTATTGCTGCACGACAAACGACTACAAATTGAGCAGCTTAAAACAGCACCCATTTATTACCTCATAGTTTCTGCTGGTCAAGAGTCTGGGCGTGGCTTAACTGGGTGCTCCGCAATCATAGTGTCACCTGGCCTTTGTTCTCATTTAGAGGTTCTGCTGGGGGGAAAGTCCACTTCCAAGCTCACTAGGGCTGTTGGCAGAATCCACTTCCTTGTGGTTATAGCCCCAGCTTCTTGCCGACTGTCAAGTAGAGTCTGCTGTCAACTCCTAGAGGCCGCCCGCAGTTTCTTATCACTTTGACTTCCCTAGTGTGGCTGCTTGCTTCGTTAGGTCACAAGGAGACTCTCTAGACTGAGTCTGCTGGTAGGACGGATGTCATGGAAATGACATGTCACCATCTTTGCCACGTTCTGTTGGTTAGAAGCAAGTCATAGATCCTGTCCACACTGGAGGGGAAGGTAAGGTATTATACATGGGCATGAATACCAAGAAGACAAGATCATGAAGACCACCACCCCAGTGTCTGTCTGCTACCATATGTCAGCAGACATTGTTAGCTCTACTTTCATTTATTTTTATTTTTTTAACATTTATTTATTTTTGAGAGACAGAGGCAGATCATGAGCAGGGGAGGGGGAGAGAGAGATACAGATTCTGAAGCAGGCTCCAGGCTCTGAGCTGTTTGTTAGCACAGAGCCCGACGCGGGGCGCCAACTCATGAACTGTGAGACCATGACCCAAGCTGAAGTTGGACGCTCAACCGAATGAGCCACCCCGGCGCCCCTTGTTAGCTCTACTTTTAAAATCTATCCCCACTCTGTTTTTCACTGTTTCTAGTGCCACTGCCCTGAGAAGTAAGGTAAAATTAAAGGTCTGAAAGTGATTGTCTCTTCTGCTATGATACTAGATACTATGAGAGTCAAGTATTCTACCATTGATGTGATTTTTACCCCTGTATTTGGCATTATCGTCTCTCAAAGCAAAAAATCTGGGAATGACTTTGATACTTCCTCTCCTTCACCTCCTCATATCCTAATCTCCTATGGAGCCCACTAAATACATGTTGTATTCACTCTTTCCTCTCTGTGCCCAGCCTGCCACTATCTCTCACCTAAGCTTTAGCAGTAGATTCCTAGCACGTCTGTTTCCATGCATTCCTCTTAATTCACGTTTTAAATACCA